AACACACACACACACACACACACACACACACACACACACACACACACACACACACACACACACACACTAATTTAAGAGAAAAAAAACAGTTTAAAAAAACAGAAGAAAAGAAAAAAAAACAACTGAAAAACTAAAACTTGAGGAATTTCTTAATGCGCGCCAGCGAGGACTTTCTCCGGAGCGAGTTGTTGGAGCCGCGCCTGCCCGAGGAGCCGGAGACGAGACTGCTGTCTGTGGCCGTGCTGTGAGCGGTCACGCGCGAGCTGGTGCTGGAGGCGATGGACGGGGACCCCATGCGCTCCTCCCCGCCCTGGACACGCCCCCTGATGTGCCCCGCACCCGCACCCGCCACGCCCACCTCGCCGTCCACAGAGTCGGTGGACGGGGTGAGGCAGAGACCCGGCACACGAAGGAGTCGCTTGTTCTCGCCTTGTTCTCTGCGGACGTCACAGCGGTCAGGATACGGTTGTAAGGTTTATATATATAATCATGATAATGATAGTGATCATAATTATTCGATAATGATAATATTGGTAATGATAATAATAATACACACACACAAACGCTCTTACCTAACCCACCAACATCCTCCAACCACCCATCGCACCTGTACTCTAGAACAATATTGAGCAATACCTGCTCTGTCCAACACCCTCCAACACCCACAAACACCCACCAACATCCATCAACACCCACCAACCACAAACCAACCACCCACCAACACTCACCAACAGCCAACAACCCACCATCTCACCTGCTGTACTCACCTGTACTCTAGAGCAATATTGAGCAATACCTGCTCTGTCCTAATCCACCAAAACCCACCAACACCCACCAACTACCATCTCACCTGTACTCAAGAGCAATATTGAGCAGCGCCTGCTCTGTCCTAAACCACCAACACCCACCAACCACCCACCATCTCACCTGTACTCTAGAGCAATATTGAGCAGCGCCTGTTGTACCCTCCTCTCCTCCTACAACCACCCACCCATCTCACCTGTACTCACCTGTACTCTAAAGCGATATTCAGCAGCACCTGCTGTACCCTCCTCTCCTCCCACAACCACCCACCCATCTCACCTGTACTCACCTGTACTCTAAAGCGATATTCAGCAGCACCTGCTGTACCCTCCTCTCCTCCCACCACCCACCAACCACCCATTTCACCTGCACTCACCAACACCCACCCATCCCACCTGTACTCACCTGTACTCCAGAGCAATATTGAGCAGCGCCTGCTGTACCCTCCTCTCCTCCCAGTCATTACAGGACGGGCTGTGGGCCACGTTTGGCGGGATCTGCCCTCCTCCCTGG